GTCAGAAGTGGTTGGCTAAGTTTAGAGAATGAAGGTTTTCTACGGCCAACTTTAATGGGATTTCCGATGGGTATACCAGTATTAACCGCATGACCTGCAAATGTGCTTTTACGTTAGTAAATTGTGCATTTTTGACAATAATAGAAGCAGAAAGTATCTCCTGATAAGACTTGCCCTAACAATTAGTCGGTGTGACCGGCGGGTCTCCAGAGTTTAGAACATCGCTAATGTTGTAACAATCACAAAATGATTGCAGAATTTTAAACAAAATAAATAAATAATTGATTGTATTGTTAAATAATAAATGAAGATACACATTGCTTTCTAATTAACTATATGTTACTAGTATCCATTTATCGTGATTTTTAGAGCGGTGGTCAGTTGAATGAGAGAAAAAAAGAAAACAAATTGGTACGCTGAACATTAATAAATTTATTGCAAAAATGTTAAATCCGAACAAAACCCAGTTGCCCGTATGACGTGTTGCCATTCATACAAAAGATAAATGGTTTTGTTGTGATTTTCCCCGTCCAGGAGAGAGAAAGCTCTCGACGTTTCCAAAAAATAAATAGCCGCCTGCTTTTCAAACGAAGCTCCAAGAAAACAATATTTCTATAGGGGATTTATTAATGGAATTATTTTCAGGAGTGTTGATTTTATAGCCGGGAGGCGGTCTGCAGGGGTTTAGATGGGGCCGTAAAAGACGAATCGGGCTCCTTTTAACTCCAAAGGAGATCCTTCCGTCAAAGCCTCGTGAAATTGCCGGATGATATTAAGACCGGGTTTTAAAAACACTAAAAGGGAATGTAATTTTTATTGGCTACCAAAAAGAGAAAGTAAACAAATTCCATGTCTTTTCGTCAAGTTGAATTGAAATATTTGATCAACATTAGGGAAAATTCACAAAGTAAATACAACATTTAATGAGAGATTTTCAGAAATAGAAACGTTGAGATAAATTTCATTTAGTATGAGAATCGAGGGAGTTTTAAAAAAAGTTCAGCGTCTTAATTTTGTATTATTAATAGCTATTGTAAATATCATTACGAAGAATGCCCGTTGAATATTTTTCAGTATTTCCATCTAAATTATAAATTAAATGCTGTAACAAAATTCCTTGCATTATTAAAATCGTGTCTTATCAAATGGTTATTAATTTAGAAAGCATATTTCCTACGCTACCCCAGGGAAAAATCATTATAATTTCATTTAGAAACATAAAATTACTTTTTGCATTAAAAATAGAAATATATATTCTTCTCGGGGATACATACAGTACAAAAGATCTTCCTACTTTTGTTTTTAATTACCTACTAGTACATATTACATATAATAATATAATGTGGGACCTGTACAGCTACTGGTAAAAGATTTGGCCAGTAATAAGCCATGTCAATAGCGAGGATGAAGAGAGAGAGTGAGAGTGACAGGGAGATAGACAGCGTGAGAGCGGCTTCCCTTGGATGGTGAACGATAAATTCATCACGGTTCACAAGAAACAAGCCTGATCGCCCCCTCTTTTCAAATTAGGCCGATGTAATCAAAAAGAAAACGTTGACGCAGCCGTGCGTGATTCTGCATAGAGTTCGATTCTGAGGTATATATTTTCCCCGTTCCATTTTTAAAAACTTCGTCTCGTTTGACATTTGTTACTTGTTAGAAGTGTTACTCAGTTCTCGCATTATTCAAATAAAAATTTCGGTTTTATTCTATAAGCATAATTACTATTTACACTAGTTATTCGTCAAAATTAACCATCAGCAGAAAAGGCTTCTAGGACTTAAATGACGAACCGGTAATTTTATCCAATCGTTTAGTGTGCTATTTAATTATTCTCTCTCGTACTATGAAATGATACGTATAACAGCAACATAATTCAAATAAAACTTTTAACTCGTAACCGTAAAATCGCTGTTAATACAGGGCAGAGCTGAACTGGTCGATCACCTTTTGACTTCAGAGAGCATAAAGCATACTTCCGCTGGAATAAGTTAGCTTTGAGGATCGGAATGGGCCACTCCTTACAAACGGGTTCCCCATTAAATATCACGGAATGATTAGAAATAAATGTAACCATTTTCATTTTTATAGTTCCAATCAACCGGTATTGAACGGTTTTATATATTCTAAAAAAAATTATGTTGGAGAGTTATTCTTGTTGTAGCTATAGTTATAGAAATGCGGGAAAAACTGCAAAAAAGGAAAAAGCAAGCAAATACAAAAGATTATCGGCAGAGAATGGTGTCAGAATATAATGTCTTCAGTTTTATTCTTTTGTTTTCATGCAACGTTCCTTCTCTATTTAACAAATTTGATTTTTTGGTATAAAGGAGGGTTGGCTATTCGAAAAAGTATTCTGCTAAACATATCACGATGGTTTGGGCACCCTGTTCAGCCAGAACACTACAAAAAAGTTTATTCAAATCATTGAATCCATCCAGCCTAACTTTATTTGCTTAAAGCCTCAAACTTATCCATCGTGTCACTTATTAATTTCCCTATTGACAATCCAATATAAAACGTAAATTGGCATTTGCCAGTACATTTCATTGTAAATGCAAAAAAGAAATCCGTGAGAAATAAATTGTATTTTGTAAACGTAATGGTGTTGAATAAATATACTACAAAATGCGTATAAGCAAATACATGTATGAAAAATATTTAAATGATGATTAATTTAGACCGGTCTTTTTTACCGGACGAGAAATTAGAAAAGAAGTGGTAAATAATAAATAGCAAGAACTAACAGAATATTTTCATTTTCATTGTACAAAGAAAGGATTGTACAAAAAGGTTTTAAAATTTTAAAGGCAAAACTGAAAGTGTAAATGTTCAAAAAAATAGGTAAGGTAATTTTAATTTATCATAACCGTTACCACCCCAAGAATAATAGTCAAAAGCTCTTGGGTTGGAAAGAACCAAAGAGGAAACACCCACTCCCCACTCCAGGTTTTAGGATTTAGGTGTAGATTAATACCACATAAAAGGATATCTTCAATAGGGATAAAACAACGAGACGACCAATATCACCGAACGTAAAACTAACTACAAGTAAGAACTTCAAAAGAAAATTAAATAAAAACACAACTCTATGTCTACAACAGATTTTAGAAAACAAACTTTCCTAGATAGAAAGTTGGTAAGAGAGAGGGGGAGAGGGGGATAGGGAAAGAGAGAGAAAGAGTAAAAGAGAAAGAAAGCTAGTGAGAGAGTAAAAGAGAAAGAAAGCTAGTGAGAGAGAGAGAAAGAAAGCTAGTGAGAGAGAGAGAGAGAGAGAGAGAGAGAGAGAGAGAGAGAGANGGGAGAGGGAGAGGGAGAGGGAGAGGGAGAGGGAGAGAGAGAGAGAGAGAGAGAGAGAGAGAGAGAGAGAGAGAGATTGTTTCATTTTGTTCAGTTGTATTTTCAAGGCTAAATAACGCAATCGTTCTTTCCTATAAGTTCATTGAAAGATGACAAAAAAGCGAATCTAACGAAGATGCGGGCATTCATCTGGCGAAATTAAAAATAGACTTTTTATGTACATTTCAACATAGCTCGTTATCGCGTCGGCCGAGCCCCGTAGGAGCAGATAAACTGCAACATTCGTACGAAATCCTGTCGCTTTATAGGGTGGTTATTGAACCGTCTGATAACGGTATGCATGACTTTTTATGATGAAGGATTGTCACGTGTTGCTGGCTACAGATGTGCAGCACATGGATTTGTCCCTGGCCGAGTACTCTTCCATCCGCCTCCTCTCGCTGTGATCACGCAGCTGATTGCACTGACAGAAAATAATATTTCAAAGTTCGTTATGCTTTATTACAATTTAGCCGAGTGTATAAAAACATGATGTCAGCGTTGGTCAAGGGCTCCGAAATTAAACTTTCTTATCTCATTTCAACTATAGTTGTATTAATAATGCGTAACCTCATTTGCTATTGATATATTTATCTTTATCGGGTCTAGGAGTCATTTAAGATATGGTTTTTATAAACAATCTCTACTCCAACGAGCAGAAAATAATAATGTAGAATCGAACCATTAATTCTCTCTAAAAATTTAATTACTCAATATGTATATAAACTATATGTAAATTTAAAAGTTTTTTTAAACTAGAGCTAACGCTCTACCAGTTACAACGATGAAAGCTGGTGGTAGGGTAAATAATTAGAATTTTAAATCTAACCCTCAATGGCTTCAAGCACTTAAAGTTGAATTGTACCAAGTCCATTTGGAGATTTGCCTCGCTTTAATATCAACAAAAGTGAGACGTTACACTTCTAGTGCTAAATGTATTTTATTCTCCATCCAACTGGATCCATAAATTATCTCATCTATATTTAACAGTTGCAGGAAGTTTATTTTAATAAAACGTATTTCCCAAGAAAAATGACCAAAAATGATTAATCATTTAATTAAATCTTTTAATCTCTTAAGTTATAAAGACATTGTTTTTTATGTGTCGCATTTAAAAATAATTATTCCACTTAAAAGTAACTGTATAAAAAAATCAAATGCGACTTTTGGTTTCAAGGAGGAAAGTACCGAGTAGGATTGTTGAATTAAGGGAAAAATTGTTGGTATATTTGCGTATATTGTTGGTATATTGTATATTTAGGGTTACAAAAAAACGGGTCAGAGCCTTTAATAGAATAATTATTCAGAAATCGTGAAATGCGGTCTGGTATGATGTAGGTTCCAGAAAGACATTTTCTTTATCGTGCCAATGTTTCGATCTTTATTGAGATCATCTTCAGGGCTCAAAGTGTTTGTCTTCTGTGTAATTGTGCCATTCTTGCGTGTCGNATATATATAGAAAAAAAAACGAGTTTGAGTTTTTAAAACCATATACCTCTTTGGAGTATTAAAAAAACATACAAATTTACTGTAAAGTATTTGCATTTCATTCCACTCTTTACTGAAAAGCACTAATACTACGGCTTCAAAAGTAGAAATTATATTTAAGAAGAAAAATAAATTTTGTTATTGTTGTTATTGAAATAAAATCAAAACTTTGATGTTTAAAAATTCTGAATTGGAGCAAAGCACAGAAGAGAGAAACTTAGGGTTTGTCATTGGCCGATGTTAAAGAAGAAACAATTTCACTTACTGACCGACAAATCTAGGTTTGGGAAAAGAATAAATGCTGGGTTGAAATAAAATCCGAATGATTCTACGTGATAAGTTACTTTTTCTGTTTAATTCACAAAGATCAGTGTATTGCCCGGTCCGCGAAACTTCAGGGGGACAACAAATTTAAAGCTCTGCCCTTTAACAAATAAAGGACGCTCAAGAATAAAGAAAGACGATGAAGTAATCCGTCTTCGTGTAAAAACGTCATCCGAGCCGGTTATCCCAATGAAGTTCGTATTGATGGTTTCAGCAGGATGCAAGCAAAGTAGGTACACTATGGGAAGTCCAAAGAAATTCGCATATCCACTAGGACCATTGATCAATGCCGAGCTTTCGATTGACTATCATATAGTGATTTTTTACTGTATAAAACTTATTCAAAAGGCCGTTCGGCCTCATGTACTCGCATCGTAAGAGGGGGTACAAAGGGGTTCCTTGTGCGGACGTTTAAGCCGAAGGTGGGGAGGCCGAAAGCTTCAATACTGAAGACGACACGGCCAAGTAAGGCATCATCGACGTCTCGGCCCAAGTAAGTAAACCTTGTTCAAAAATCACGTGAGAAACCGCTGAGATTTTATCCCCCCCCCTTCTTGAAATAAGAACTAAAAATAAATCACGAGGTACTTTCGGGAGAACCTACCGTTTCCTCCGTCCGAACCGCCGACGCCGCTAGGAAATTGTTGTTAATCGCTGGGTTTTTTTTGTCAAATTGAAGAATCCGGGTATATAATATATAGCGTCTCAGCAGCTGAAAGTTTTACCAAGGGAATGTCGTCAGTTCCGCCCAGCTGTTCGGGCAAAACTAGGAGGGGAATGGGCGACATGACCATAAACAAGTTGATTTGGGTCCATGGTAAAGAAAGGGTCCCCCTCTTTTTATATTTGATTCCGAATCCTCAATTGACACGCCGGGATTATTAAAAGAAAACCAAGTATTCATCTCTCTTTACAGTCCATATAATTCCTCGGGAAACAGTAACACTTTAAAATACTACTCCGACCTCTAGTTCCACCAATTTCGTGAAAATTCTCACAAGCAAACTGTGTGTTTGTATTTGATCTTTGAAGATATTCAAGTGACATGAATAACCGGATCGACCTTACAACAGCCAATTTAATGTGAAAAAGTGACCAACTATACTTTTAATTAACAACAAATAAGAGCCTGCTGAGATGTTTGCAGCCAGATAGCTGCCTCCGGTGCAGTTCATTGTAATAATGGAACAGCCGGAAAATGTGTGTGAATAATTAATTAATCAATCAAAATAACAACCGGTGTTGTGAAAAGTGAAATGTGCGTGAGTGCTTCGCGATGTATTCCCAAAAGTGTTTAGGTATGGCTGTGCTTGGCTAAAAGAAATTAGAAAGTGACTGGGTCCTACAAGTCAAGCGCGTTTTGTTTAAAAATGAATAAATGATTTTTAAAATAGAAAATTGATTAAAAAATACACTCGGTTCTTTTCTTTATAGTAGAATATATTTTTCAATGCGTAACTAGAATAATGAACTTTTTCATTAAACAAAGGTGATTCATACTATACCTATAAGATCTCTTTAGTACAATATAGATTGTTGTTGAAACAGCAGGAAATATAAAATAAGACCTCCTTCAAAATACCCCAAACGAAAAAGTAAAATTTGCCCAGGAATTCTCGAGTTAAGTTAACCAAAGCTTCTCCTTTTCGATAAGAAATTGGCCAGTTTGCACTTTTTGGAATGTTGATAGAGCTGAAAGTCACCGAGATAAAACATTTCTTGAAACACAGTCACGTCCGCCCTATCAGCTTCAAAACTGAAACGAACGGAGAATTTTCTTAACGCCTTACGATAATACAAACGTATGTAAGTTATTTTTAATTTATATTTCGATATAATTTTTTCTTTTTTTTCTCATCATCTTCAATGTATCATTACTAGCACTATTCACTAGCACTATCATTAGCACTATTAATTGCAAAATTGAATTAGTCTTTCGTGATTTTATGGGTGAGGCTGAAAAAAGAAAAACAAATTAAATCTTATTAGCTTTCACTAGATGTACATAGAATTACCTGGGTATCGTTTATTGACTTATTACTGCATTTTAACATTTATGAAAGAAACATTCTCTTATTTTTTTCCTGACCTTTTCAATGATACTGTAAATTTTTCTTTTGATTTTTTTTCTTCACGTAATAATAAAATGCACTAAAAATGAAATAGTTCATTGTAATTTCGCTGAAGAGGGGGGAGGAACGCTTGTCCCGAAAGTGTCACCGTTACACCCAGGAGAAGGGTGGAAACCGCGGTTTATTTACACGCAGGGGTGGCGGGCTTAATTAGAAATTTAATAGCTGCTAAAGAAGGGGATGGTGTTGAGATCATCGGTCGCAGACTATTAAAGCTGTAATTCACTGAACTGAATTTTGTTCCGTTCGGAACAATAGCCTTGCTGCGTGGTCAAGGCTAGGCTGAATTAATTGATAAAAGGATCAGTGCCACATTTCTAAAACGGTCCGGTTAAACCACGTGGAGCGGCGAAAATTATCTCGAATCTTTCACTCTCCCTCTCTTTCTTTATCTTCAAACTGCGGCACAGATATCTGTAAAATGTGAGGAACGAAAGATAAATTCGAAATAAATAATATTTTAGGTATTTTTTTCTCAATAGGTTTACGTTTGGTGGTTTATATTTAATTATAATTAAATGTTTAATTAACAAATTAATATTTGCATTGGCAATATCATAGTAATAACGAAATTTCAACAATACAAATTAATCAGTCCTGATTTGAGTCGAAATAGTTATACTCGCACTACGTATAGCCCAAAAATGTAATACTGCATAATTCAATGGGCTCTTGAATAAGAATAAGTAAAATGGTATGTCGAAAGAGTATAATTTTCAAGTTGAACGACAGTCGTACTGAAAGGATGGCATTAAGAGGTGGGATATAAAGGGCATAAAAGGAAATCCTGATATTTATAAAATATATTAAATTTAAAAAAGTAGTCAACTGAAAGAAAAATGAGTGGTTTACAACGATTATAATTTAACTCGAATTATTCCTCAAAACGTTTATTTAACGTGTTAATATTTGAATATTCCAGATGCTATTGCTCCCCAATGAAAACTGATATGCTTCACTTTTTATTTCATATTTTTCGTATATTTGGAAAATGTATTGAATATTGTGATTTCGAACTGTTAATAAAACGATATATTTCAATGAAAAATGAATTATAAATAGGCAAAACAAATTTTTAATACAACCGGCTCGTTGTAATAATAATTATAAATAACTTATTAAAATATTTGAACCTGGGTCGTTTTGAATTACATTTCCGGTATAAATAGAATTTCCTCGCATTGAAGAGGCTGTATCAAAGAAAATGTTCCTATTCTTGTTTCAAATATTCAACATACGCTTCCATAACAATCTTGTAGTATGTCACATGCTTTGCGTTCAATGCAGAACTTAAAGTGCGATTTGTCAGTCTGTCGCAAAACTCTGCCAACTGTATTCAACATTAGTTGCAAAGCCCAAATATATAGATTTTGGAAGTACATACTATGTGTACAGTCCTTGGCAATGTTAGGACGGAGTCGGTCTTCAAGAAAATTTGATATCGCTTGTAAAAAAACGTAAATAGTAGACATATTTAAGATTGTTTTGCCCTGATGATGACCTTAAAAATAGGTCGAAAGCTTGGCAATAACAAAAATTGCTTTTTTCTTCGCGACCATACCTTGATCCAGAGTTCGTGAGCGAAAAAGTGATCAATACTTCTTACACTGAAAAAAGATATGATAAATATACAGTATAATAGTATATTATAGTATATAATATTTGTATGATTTTTATAATTTCAATACGTTGTCTTTAAGTCAACATTGATTTTTGACCTTTTGAATACCCAGTAAGCGAGAAGGAAACTTACGAGTACGAAAGTACAACAAAAGTCTGGAAAATTTGGTTTATTTCCAAAAAGATACACACGTTTTATCCCCAAAAATTGCGTAAGCACGGTGGATTAAACTTTGAAATTATTGTCTCTCCCGCTTTATCTTTCTTTTCGTGAGCTTATCTGCAGAAATTTTCAAAACAATTGATTTCACCGTGGAAATGGTGCGTAAGTGTCCTATGTTGATAGCACGGGTTTTCAGAGAGATAAGGGCCTCCACGTGTCCCCGTCCCGTCGCGGGGGAGTGTTTATGTTGGAGCAGGAAGTGAGTTCTATTGAGCATAATTGCCCTTTCCCTCTCCTGTCCCTTTTATCTTCATCTGTCCGTTCCCTCCCGCACGCCGATTCATAAGAGCGTGTAATTAGCCCCGACTTACCATGTTTACCCACCCTGTTAACATTTTCTCTGTTTTTGCGATTAAGGTAACTATTTTTCCTCTATGGGCAAGGGAATTGAGGCTAAAACCTTTAACCGATTGAAACTCGTGGAAGAAGAAAAGAAGAAATAAATTTCAACAAGTCTTATTCTTCTACTAAATTAAATGCAACCCCATCACAAAAATAATATAAAAAAGTTTTCTTTTTCTCTGAAGAACACTGAAATATATTTACATGAGATATTACACACTGAACTATAATTATTATAAATAAAGTGTTATAAAATTTAAACATAAATGAGTTATGAGTTGTCTTTAGAATAAAGCTCTTATAATATAATATATAAAAATTAAGAACAAAGAAGTAGCTACAATATTAACATTATACCTCAATCAAAATTACTATTAAGATTTAAATATTAAAAAAAACTTTTATAAATTTTTTATAAGATTAATAATAACAATGGCGCGTAAGAAAATGACGAAAAATTCAACATTTTATTGTAATAAAAAATTGTTGTAAAAATTAAGATGTGTAGGAAAAACATAGACAGAAAAAGTAATATTCTGCTTAAGATATTTTTTCCCCCTTGAGGACAACCTGGAGTACCCCTGTGTGTTGGTTCGGAGGATATATCATTTCCCAGGCGCAGTTAAACAAAAATATAAATGTTTTCGTACAATCTTCAAGAAGGTTGGTCTAACAACACTATAAAAATGATAATAATGAAATAAAAATATCGCGAGGGGGTGTCGGTGGTCACAACGGTTCAGGCGAGCTCGTTACTGTAACGTAAAGGTCCCGGGGTTCGAATCCAGCGGCCCTGCGCATTCGTATCCGACATACTTACAAACGTTTTTTTCAAAAACACCGGCACCCCGGGGGTTGATATCACCTCTGCTGTTGGGAACACGCACAAAAGAAAAAAAAATATAACGACACCCGTAGTTTTATGTTCCTATACCGTAAAATATAGCAAAACTTGTAAATAGATAAAATATAAATGAACAAACAGGTTGTAAAAATTGAATTAAATTATCGTTAATTTGAGAGTAGAGTAAAACTTAAAAAAGTAAGAATTTATTATTATTAAATTATTATTATTCAGTAAATATTTTACAGTAAAATGTGCTTATTCGTACTCGAATTGCGGCTCGGACCTAATTATTTAACAAAAGGTTTTTTTGGTTAAAACTATTTCTGTGG